TCAAATAAAGACAAGGAGAAATTAGAGATTAGTGAGATTAAGTGCAACGATTAAGACGAAGGCATTGTGTAGATATACTTGAGCTTCTGAGATCAACTCTGAGCAGTACCACTTGTAATCTTCAACTACTGTTTTTTGTTGTTACGGGGACCCTAGACATAATGTCTACACTTACCTACACACCCCAGAGCAGCAGTCAGAGACTCCATAGACTACAATAAAACTGGATAAGCACAAAATTTACTAAACCATCCCACTCAACAGGGTTAAGCCATGCTTGTAAGGTATAGTAAATGACTCAATTGCTATATTATGACTTCTCTCTTATGATATCACGCATACTCACAGCTAAAATTATTTTTTCAACGTTTAGAAGTAGAGCATTTGCAGGAATTAACATGGATGAAATTACAAAAGTTATCCTATGTCATCAGTTACAAAAGAACTTGAATTTTTGAAGGTATGCCAAAATGAAAATCGACAATAAGGAAAGGATCGACTTCCAATTTACAGCAATAAACCACAAACAGGTAATTATCCTACCAAGATATAGTTGACAGTGACTTGTAAAGTTTAAAAAAGAGCAGTCTCAGTTAATAGCTAAGAAAAAAGCTCTTAGTCAGGAGGTTTCAGTTTGGCTGGATAACTAACACCAAGACAAGTTTAACAGTACCTGATATTCAGTGGTGGGCAATACATTATGCTCAAAAGGTTATCCAATAAAGAAAAATATTTCACTGCTTAACAATCCTAATAAATAAACTATAATGGGATTACAATCTATCACAGTGTCCAAGTCTTACTCCTATATAAGTATAAAAGCATTTTCTCAATGATCAGCAACAAAGTTCAGAACTATTGCAAAATTTTATTTATTTGCACAGCATAGCTATTAATTTCGTTAGAAAGAAGATAAGCAACGTTTTAATTATTATGCAGGATATCTATTTAGAGTTCATTTTGTAAACTACCTAAAGTAGTGAACTCAAAAACATTGAAATCATAGCAAATCTGTTTATGTCAGGGCAGACAGTGAATTAGACAATGATACTTTCACAAGGCTGCAAACCTTTGAAAGATAAAAATACAATAATTTTAGGCATATATCATACGAATATACAAGACACATGTATGCATGCAAGCAGTGAGACAATAGAACAATCAGGTTGTGAAACTTGACTCCATTATTTCCAAAAAGTGTGTGTGTGTGTCTCAGTGATCACAGTCAGAAATATTTTCCATGTTAATACTGAGACTTTATACCTTAGTGTGTAGTCAAGACTGAATCGATAGATTGAAATAACTAAACATGGAGTATCTATCTCCAAGGTCAATTGATGAACATTTACAGTCAATCACAGGTGTTAAAACATATCGAAATTTCTATGAGTTAAAATGACACTCAGTGTAGCTCAGCGGTAACCACAGTGACTACAGTACTGAATGACGTTGGCTGTAACCTTACAGAGGACATTGGTTCCCTCATTTTTGTAGACATGCCTTGCTGACGAGTGCCAACAAGCAGGAAACCTGGGTCTGACAGGGCTTACTGCCAAATTCTTTCAACCAACTAACATTCATCAAAGTGCACCGCTATAGTGAGCCTTAACTTGGTGGCCATATTGCAAAGTGACCGACAGAATTTGACCAGTACTCAACAGTCAACAACATGAAATTGGTTGCTCTCCAATGATCGGTCAAAGTGAGTAAAAATCCAAGAAATGGGATTTCGCCTAGGAATAACTAATGCACGTATTCCTTACAGACTACAAGAAGTAATTGCTGAAAAGCAATTTTATGTTTTAGTTGATTTATAATACGATTAATTTGTTCATTTATGAATATGAACTACATATTGGATACACGGAATAGTTTTCAAGGTGATAAACATACGACGTGAAACATTATGTTCACAAAATACACCAAGTACGTCTGATCCGTGTAGACAACATAAGTATATCGTAAATGTTCTAGTTTGTAAAAATGACTTGGTGTTTGGGCTTTAAAATCAGAGCAAAAAAATATTTTACTTAGGCCTTATAATTCAGAAGACTTATGCAAAAAGTACTCGCAGTTCTCCTCTGTATTTTGAACAAAAGCAACTGATATATTTATAGCCAGTTACGATACCTACATTCGCTTTCGGAACTATGCTGGTGATGAAGTGTATAATTCCATACTTACTGGATCCACAACAGTATCATTCTTCTGACAAGCTTTGAATGTATATTTAGACGGTAAATATTTTCATGGTTGACTGAAAAAATCAACGTTAAACTTTGCACATAGGTGCATCGGCTTTGTTTGCCACGATTCACAGTTTTAGTATAGAAGGAATAGATGGATAGAAAAAGTGATAAAGTAGTGTGAGAGAATAAAGAATCTGAGGATAAAAGTTATTGTGAATATTCAAGCTTTTGGAGATGTCAGGAAATGAATACATCTGCGCCACTGCGACCGATTTCCAGTTATTGCACCAACAGTCCTCAACCACTGGTTCTTTTCGTTTCTAAGAAGCCAGCCTAGGAGTCTACAACCGCCCACACAACTCAAACTAACAGTCATGGGCTTTATGCACTAGTGCCACGACATCGTCTACCCAACCTGAACCCTCTTCAAACCCAAACCAACTCCCCTAGAATGGCACAGAGAGGTTCGTAGTGGCTTAGCATTTGCAGCACATGTTAAAGCCACCTCAGTTGACTAAGGTTTACAACTTCATCAACCGACTTGCTTGTCTTAACCAGTACACTTTTTCTGACCTCAACATTACTCATGTGGTAATTTCCTCAAACGCAAACAATGCTATGAATACACCTGTGATCTAAACGGTGTAATTGCTCCATACCTCCTAGTAGTGAGGCCAGCTGCTGAAAAGAGTAGATCAAAAGTTATTTAGTGGCCCATTACCGTTTTGCTTTCATTGATATAATGATCTGAAAGTCACGGAATAAAACCAAAATATGGTAACCCATTTTCGTGTAGCCATAGACAGAGCATTCCGGACACACCGTCAAGCCACACGAAATGTTTTGATGATATATCTTCAGTACTAAGCACTACTTAAGTAAATTGCATAACGTTAGTAAATCACAGTTTCTGAAGAAGATATACATGCTTGGAATTGTCCTGACGTGAGGCCTTAGACAATTGGCATAAAGTTCACTACTGATCTACGAAAAAGTTAGCATTGACACACATATTTCCTTTATCTTTCGACATTTAATGGATGCTCTTTATTTCGACCCATCATACATTGTTTATTGACTTAAGTAATAATCTTCCGTATCTTTTCAGTATTCATTCTTTTAACCACTTTTGAGGTCATAACTGAAAAGTTGAGAAGCCGTGGTTAGATATACTTCATGTAACCCAGAAATTTTACTACTTGCTGTTAAAAAATAATGACTTATTACAGCAGCAAGTAATAACATCACACTTGGTGGATATTGTTAATGAAAAGTAGATATTTATGAGTGCGAGCCGATTAATTTACTTTCCTCAATACTGAAGACTAATCTTCAGTGATCTAGATAATATAGTCACGATTTAGAAAAGAGCTATCTTTAGGAGCTAACAATTTTAGTTCCACGACAGACAAAATGTTTCTGCATAGATTAAAAATTATTGGTTCCAGTGCACATCAAAACTGCTGAGTCCACTTCAAAATCAAGGACCTGCATTCGTCTCAAGTAGGCATTTCCTTTAACAGTTCAGAAGAATATTCAGGGTTTGATAACAGAATAATGGCTAGTAGTTGAAAAAGTGATGTGCGTTTCATAGGTTTTCCTGTTATTCAGTGTTAATATTCGGAAGCTTTTATTTTAATTTTCAGTCGCCCAGTTGAGATAAACATGGAACGTGACAATACCGTGTAGGTTTACGCTTAACTAGACTTCACATCAATAAACGAAGAAGCAAAGCTCCATCAAGATCGATTCTAAACCATACCACCTAAATTCCGCATTTGGTGAATGTCAATAAAGGAGATAAGAACATGTAAAACTTGAATAATAAGTGAGGTTAAACGGACCAAAACCTTAGCTTCATTTGAAATGGTACGTAATTCAAGATCAGAAAACGTTGTGAAATCTGAGTGGTGTCCCAAGAAACAACCTGAGTTTTTATGACCAAAGACATGGTCCAATTAGCGTTATTTATGCTAGAAGAGTTTTCAGAAAAAGGTGTATAATAATTAATCATTCGCATTAAAAGTGTAACAATGCACCTACTTGGAGATCTTGACCTAAGTATGATGAAATATTAGAAACCTATTGTTTATATGAAGTATGTTGGGTGTGACGCAAGAAATTTAAGGAAAAATCTCGTCTAAATGGCTACTTTGCATATTTTAAATCCTCCACGCACAAAGATTGGGTTTCCTTATGAATTAAATTATCTTTTCAAGATGCGAACATGGCCGTTTTAACTGTTTTCTTGAAACCTTTTCCAGAAAATGCCGGTATGAAATGTATCCACTTAAAATGCTCAAGAAAAGTGTTATTGATACTATAGAAATTTAATACAATGGTTTTAACTTTAACAGCATACTAAAAAGCGCTTTGAAAGACAGTGTTTCTGCTAATAAAGAGTACTTATTTTACTCATGTTGAAAACAAATTATGAAGTGAAGACTAAGATATTTTTTGCACTTCTTGCAACTTGGATATACCACGAACACTAGTATGTTATGGAGGCTCTCAACCTAAACCAACCTAGCATTTAGACCGTCAAGTTCATATTTATAGGCTTTCTCATCAACTTAATGTGCTTATAAAGATCTTATACGAGAGTGGTGCAGCTAACAGTTATGACAAAAATAAATCCAAATCAAAGCTTAAAAACATCTAGTGCATAATTAAAATGAGCGTTACTAGGTTAGTAAGAATTCACACTGCGTGTGATTTTCTTATCCAGTCATAATCATAATTTTAATAAAGATCAATAAAATCATCCACAAAATGAATAAAACACATAAAACCAATAAATTGAAAACTAACCGTGAAGACGTGTGGGGTTGTTCATCACAGTCCATCGCTTCTATCTCCAAAATAAGTGATGACGTCTTTGTGATACTAGGGAGTGTCTTTGGGTCGACACGTAGCTCCGCAAACCCATATTTCTGATCTAACAACTCCACATAAAATGGAAGATTTTCAGGGCTATAAACTTTGAAGCGACAAGCTTTGCCTGAAAGAAATGTCAGTTCAAAAGTAAAAGAGTACCGAATTTGTCATTTGGCTTATCTGATGTCGCTTGAATTCGTGGAATAACATGAACGACTGTGGAGTTCAACCACAAGTAACCAACATATACTTTTGGTTGACCACATGGGAACACAAACTCCACACCACTGACAAACTCAAGTAAGACTGACGAAAGATTATCATCGTGAGTATTTACCTCTTGAAACCAATAAGAATGTGAGAAACATTCCTGCTCGCGATTACAGGCATCAAGCGGATTTCCAGTTGAATAAGAGCGAATATACACTAATTCGCAGTGATTGATATAAACAGAAACCAGTGAACTGATAGATAATAGAAGGCTTCACATTATAAAACCACATCGTGAGAAGATTGCGTTAAAAGGATCATTATCATTTATAAAAATGTCGAAGAAATCAGTCGGTTTACACTGGCTCATTGAAGTTATTTCACGGTGTATAGCAAACTGACAGTTTTTCAGCCCGGGTCTAATGAATTTAACCTGGTTACATTTCACTTGACCTAACCTCACTAACTGATACAGAAACGATTTCCACAATCCTGCTTGTGGCTCACTTTTGACTGATTGTAAACAGTGCTTTTTTGTAGCCGGCAGGTTGCATACTACGGAAACAATGGAAGTATTAGGATGACCTATCTAATATCAAAAGTCAACAGTTCAACAGCAGGAAGCCTACAGCTTTGCTTCCCCATGTCACGTTCTTTGAGCTTGGTTCTCGCTGCTCAATTTCGTTCTCATAGCTGGCGAGAAAATCTTTTCTGACACCCTGGTGACGTGAGCATATTCATAATCATCCTCGCGGCTTCTAGATTTAGCTGGCTACACAGCCATGGGTTACTGGGAAGACTTGTCCGTATGAAGACCTGAATCGAGATGGCGATGCGTCGGATGTTTAAGAAGAGTAAAGGTAGATAGGATGAGTGTGATTACTAAAGAGGAGTCGGGAAACGAGGTGGATAAGTCCAAAGAAACACATGGCAGATGGCAAATAAAAGAAAAGCAGTTTTGAGAGAGAGAAGGGCCCTGAGTTGGTCGTTGGTAAGCGATGCAAATTGACATAGTTGTCCAACATTCATTTAAATGAGTTTACCAAGGGAGTGTCACAACATTATGAGGTAAAGCATTCCATATGGCATGTACCCCTAAGGGAAAGCAGTTTGATGACAGTACAATGTTGCTTCTTTGGCGTGCCACAATGATGGTCTTCCTGGGGTATGACGTTTTTCGGGCTTTTTTGTACGTTTCCGCATGGACCTGTTATTAGATTGATATTGTCTATGAACGTACACTTCTATAGGGGGTTATGCAAACTTCTCGAGTTATTTTTAACCTCCCAGCCAAATTTGGCTGGTTCCTGAGCCTGCCATTGCAGATCTTTACACTGCGCTGTTTGAGGATCCTCTTGCCCGTCACTAAATCCCTCTGCTTGTGCAATGATAGCCAGGTGAACCAGGTCCATACACCTGTCTGAAATAGCCTCTCTCCCCACTCCTCAGGCGTGAGGTTTCCAACCAGTATTGTGGTGTTACCCTCGACATGCCGTGACGGCTGGCCCCGAGTTTTCACCTACACTTGTGCCGAGTGCTCGCCTAAGGTGAGGAGACTTCAGTCGGCAGACCATGGAGCACTTGTGAGGCAGTCTGTCATCCCTTAGCGGTGGGTCTTGCTTCACCATGGAAAGGTGATGGGCCCTTCCCATAGTGGTGTCGCCTAGTTCACAATGAAGAATTTCATTGTTGCATGATCTCTACGACCAGGAGGGGTGTGAGCACATGTTCTCGCAAAGAGAATCGTAGATCGTCAGGTTATGGTCCATATGCTGTGTTTCCACTAGGTCCCCAGAGTGTGGCATCATCCACTTCCTCATCGTGGTTGGCTGTTTCTGATTTGTCATAAAGCTACTGATTAATGGATCCAGCCCTTCCGGTTCCAGGTGAGTCAGTGTCTCATGCAGTGATTGTGGAATCGTAATCTGAAGAGTTTTAGGCCTGTGTTGGGTTGGCGATCGTCCTTTTGAGGTCAGAAGCATAGATCGGAGGCCGGATGCTACTCCTGATAGGCATTTCAATTGTGATAAAGTTTTCTCGCGGGGGTGATTGTCATGGTTGAATCCCGGTTGTCCTGCATCTCATGTGTAGGACTTCACTTTGTGTCAGGCTTGTAGAGTATCTTCGATTAATACTTGGGAGTGAAGCAGAATAGTGAATAATATCGGGACGGAAACGAACTTGAGATACACTGGCCTTGAAACCGCTCACCCTGTCATTCTGAAGGCTATCGACGCCACTTTTGTTCGTTTCTCACTACTTCTGTTCCGGTTCATGGAAAAACCACTCTTCACAACATAGACTGGCAGTTGCAGGATACGGCGAACAGCTATTTTGATGTTCTCTCCTCTATCTTAGTCGCTTGTCAGGTCTGGCTGGAACTCGCTAGGTGGGAAAACGCCTAGATGACATGTGTCCACCACGAGCGTTGCAACCTAACTTTCAATAAACCATGTTTGGAGCAGTGAGTTCAACACTACCTCTGTATTCGCTCGTGCTTTTGCAACACTGTATCCTGTACGTTCAGAATGGTCAGCTGCTTTCGCCTGGTGAAGGAGAGCTCCGGGAGGTTGTTGGCATGGAGTGCATGCAAAATTCTACATTCCGGGCAGATATGACGACTGTCTGACTAGCCCTGTTTTCCGGAACTAATGTCCCCGTTGAAGTGCTTTGTTGTTACACTGGCAAAATAGGCAGTACTGAAATAATTTACACGCAGGGACTCCGCTGCGTGTACTACCTCCATCAAGTGCTGGTGTCTCGCTTTTTCCTTGGCAGTGGAGCTTAGGTTTGTTCTTTGATATATAGGGTTGTGATACGTGGCGACAAGAGGAAGTCAATAGAGAAATGGTTTTCGGATCAGGTTCACGTGGCGATCAGATCATGGTTTATACATGCACTGACATGGTAACTTGATTGGAGAAATTCGACGTCATTAAACAAATTGGATTGTTTCATCTATGGCCCCATTTTCTGAGTTTTGTAAATACTTATGTACCATGTGTTTGTCTATTAAAGTTATTCTTCTTATAGTCACCGGCCATCTTTGTCTTCTGACTTTTCGTGGCTCAGTGAAGCAGGAGGTACTGAGGGAGCTCAGTCGCAAAAGTATTCGGTTATCTATTGAGTCTTGGTGCCGTTATACCCATACCCGTAATTCCACTCAGTCATAACAGGTTGACCCACTATTTCTGCGTCTACCATGCCCTTTTATGTTGTTCTCGTATGAATGAGAGTGTGGAACCTCTGCTGGAAACACTGAGATGGCTTTCCGCATGGCATTTAACCACAAGCTCATGACCGACATCTTTTGTTCATCACTAATAGTCACACAGCACTGAGTCTTACTCTTCAAGCTGTCTCTCCGTCTTTCGTCCTTACTAATGACGTTTATGACGTCTCCATGTCAAAGCATACCACCTTCTTACCAGACAGTTTTGTTTCACTGAGTCCGCGTCTTCATTCATCCCTTATTTTGAAGGGCTGTGAGTCTGTCACCAACTTCTTCGTCATATCCATGAGTCTACTTGATCAGTGAAATACTGTCTATGGTAGATACGTATATCATTACTCATCATAGTTTGTTTACGATATCGTAAGAAGCTGGATATATTTCTGTTACGTAGCGCCTAATCAGCCTTACTAAGCTCGATGTGCTCCAGTTTCTGCTGCATCAATACTTCACCCTATGTATAAGTACTGATATCGAAAACATAAATCGAAAAGACCGAGCCATTTGGCAATGTTCCGAAGAGCAATATATTTAAATACAATGGGCGTGAAAGTGACTTTTATGGAAAACACTTGTTCAACTGACCCGGCTGATATGGCTGGGCCAGAAACTTTGACGATTCACATGTTAACCAGCGCAAAACGGACACAAAACAGCATCAAAGCATTCTCAGGTACATACTCGTTAAAATGAAAGCTAAAACATCCTAGGTATCGGGGGGCAAATCAGAAGTCCATTCAGTCAATCCAGTTTATTCTATTCATATTGACCCTAGTTGGATTTTGGCGCCGGGGAGGTGCAATAAGTTTTTATACAGTTGAGGATAAAATAGGATGGACTTCAACTCGAGGAAATCGGATTTTAACAGCAGTGGTATTTCTCAGTCTTTGCTGTAACACCTCATTGCAAAGGACAAGGAAGGAGCGAGAACAGTCAAATCGGTGGATAGAATAATAATAACAATAATAATAATATTTATTCCTGAATGTACAGGCACGCACCATTTTTACAGGTACGGATGAGTTTATATACAAATTACGTTCATCTTCATGGAAGGTGATCTGAATCCCCACCCGCTGTCACTAGAAGATATAGGTGCTGCATGTTCATATAATGGAACATCCCAGCAGAATAAATGTGCAGAAAATTTACAAGTTGGACAAGTGGAAGTATTGTCTTCGCATTAACAAAAAAACAGGTTTGTATCCAGACACTATAGATATTACCTGGATAAAAATAAAGCTTGAAGCTAACACTTACATTGTAACAGTTCATACTTTTTGCTTGAGATAATGATGAAAAGTTTATGAATTGTTTACATATTGTACTTCATTGACGATTCCAGGACTGTATAATTCATCTATGTTAACACCGTTCCGCAACAAAGATTCATAATCTTGATGAATATTGTGACTGAAAGCCGAATGTCTTCACTTCTCCAACTCCAGCATCCAGAAGCAATACACTTGTTTGAATGCGCCAGACGGACCTCCAGAACATCTTGTCCTTCGTTTTCACGGGTCGCGAAAGCCTTGCAGTTGGCAAGTGTTGGACTTTGCTGGCCACTTTTATAATGAGTTAATCCTAGATTTTGACAATTATGAAGTTGTAGTCCAGTGAACATTTTTTTATTTCTGCTTGTTGTAATCAGGTATTACGAACTTGGTAAGGCTGGTTACCCCCCATGAAGGGTAGTTTCAGCCATGGTCTGTTCCTTAAGTAACTGATTCTCGATGGCAACAAAGCCAACGTTTAGAACTGAATTATTTTTCTACAACGAGAAAAAACAGACAAAGCGGCAGGCGGAGAAAGCAAGAATTTCAACAAGGGGAGTGTTTTCTATGTTCACGTTTCTCCCTACTTAGCTTCCCTTGCTATGGCTTTAACTGTGTATCCTTATTCTGTAGAGCATTTAAAAATATAAGTTTCATGCTGTCATATGGTGTAGGATTTCTGTTTTTGATTACCGTGTTGGGTGG